CGATTTTTTCAAGTTATTTATAATATTATTACAAGTAAATTCACCATAATGCGTCCTCTGCTTCTTCTTCAACGTCTTGCAGGTGTAGGCGATGGCGTAGTGGTCGTAGTCCGTCGACAGGATGAAGAACGGGAACTGCAGGACTTTGTCTGAAAATTGTCAAGATAAATAGGTATTATTTTTTTAATTAAGAGAGTTAAGTAAGGCAGGACCCCCACTAGGTGGACCGACGATTTGGTGAACGTCGTCGAAAGTGCTTGGATGCGGGCGGCGTCATTGGGGGAGGCCTCTCTTTGTCCTGCAGTGGAGGTGATTCGGCTGAAACGACGATGACGACGACTCAAAGTGGGCAATATGTTCGCAACACGTCTTTGTGATGACGCTTGGAATAAGGCTGAGTTGCAAATTTTTTAGCCACTTTGGGAGTTACGACAAACTATTTGAAGTAGAGTAGATCAGGTCGTTCCTATTCTTGCTGTGGATATCGTAAAAGGTGACTTTTTTATGGCAAAGTACAAAAATAATTCATATCAATAATTAACATTTTTCTTAGCGATAGAGTCGCTTCTCAAACAAAATTTTAAAATAAACAACTTGAAAAAATCGAACTGACTAAGGCGAGAATTGAATCCAATGTCTAAGTTGTAAGAGCAGTCGCCTGGCAAGCGAAAGGTCGTGGGTTCAATTCCCGCCTTAGGCAGTTCGATTTTTTCAAGTTGTTTATTTAAAAATATCAATAATTACTATACCTCCATCCTCATGGCTGACGATGAATTTGGCCTTATTGCCAGCGTCGAACGTCGGGTCCACTCTAGCGAAGTAGGACTTCTGGGTCCTATTGCCCTGGTCCACATTGACGTAGGTCTCCCTCAAGGTGTACCCCAGGTTGTCTTCTTGGAAGTCCAGGGTCGCACAGTCGTAGATCGATCGGCCGTCGCTGGCATAGCTGGCCACGTTGTACCACACCCCTGAAAACTGGAGAAGAAATATAAAATTAACGGGATTTAACCTACAGTTAATCTTTATACAGCTAATAAAAATATTGAATCCTTTTATAATTTTTCCCGTCACATTGAATCGCATTTGCAACGTTATTATGTCTATATTGATAAGCACAAAATTGTAGTTGTTACAATACGGCTATTATATAGGGTGTTTCTTGTAAGGTGTCAAGCCGAAGGCAGGTGATAGGTGAGGACTAGACCTATCGATTTCACCCCCATGTATGTTCTACGATTTTTCGTAGTTTAGAAGTTATCGTTAATTTTGTGATTTTTTCAAAATTCCTAGTGGCTTAATTTTTTTGAAATCTTTTTTTGGGTTGATGTTTCTCAGATTTCTATTTTTTGACAGATTCCCTATTAGTTGCAGATATTTGAAAAAAATAATCACCTTCCTATCTTTGATGCAAGATACAAAATTTTTGCTAGAAACATAAAAAATATGCTTTTAGCAGAACATTCTAAAATTTTCAACTGAAATATATGAGAAAAAAAAAGAATTTCCATAGGTCCAAAATAATTTTAAAAACTGCGCAGTTTTCTGAACTTTTATAATAACACAAAAAAACATGTACTTAATAGGCCATTATTTTCTGTAATCGCTCTACTAAAGTAGTAAGTCGGAGATTCCGTTACATGTTTTTGACTTTCTTAGGACTAACTAATGTTTGCAATCCACTAAGTGTACGTTCCGTAGAACACGTTTAGAGACAATAACTGAACAGAACATTTTTTATCCACAACGAGGAAGCTCTTGCCCTTCATCTGATCTGATGGAAAATTGGAAACTGCTGGATGAACAGCAAGCTTCACCCGGAATCCTAAACCACAGAGGAATTGGCTGTCCTAAATAAGTAGTCTTACCACTAGACCACAGTGGTTATTGTTACTTTACGATTAAATTTGATATACCTACCTATTAGAGTGTGAAAGGAAAGAGAAAGAGTTTGTGTGTGTGTGTGTGTGTGTGTGTGTGTCTGTGAGAGAGAGAGAGAGAGAGAGGAGAGAGAGAGAGAGAGAGAGAGAGCAAAAAAGGGTGTAATGATTTAATTTAAAGTAAATGTCCGTCGCTGACCTGAATGCACATTCGACAACGACGCAAAACAATTATTCGTATATTTACAAAAGCTTCTTGCATTCTAATAATGGTTTATCATCAAAATTTTCATATTCCCTTTTGTATACCACATGAAGAGCAAGAGCTTCCACGTTGTGGATAAAAAAAACTTTTCAGTTATTGTCTCTAAATGTGTTCTACATAACGTAAACTTAGGGGATTGCAAATATTACTAAGTCCTAAGAAAGTCAAAAACATGTAACGGAATCTCCGACTTACCACTTTAGTTGCAAAAATTTGGAATGACCTGCCACCACCGGTTCGCGCCGCATTGGATCTTACGCTACCGACCTTCCGCAAAAGATGTCGCAACTGGCTGCTTCAAGAGCAATCTCTGGCACTGGCTAATTATAAGTTCACATAGCAATTTGTAATTTTAGGAAATTGTAATTTTAAGTACCTATAAATTAATATTTATTTATTTACTTATGTATATCTTGGCTATGGCAGAATAACAGGGTTTGTGGGTCTCCTGCAATCACTGAGTCATAGACCTTTTTGTCTCTTATGATTTTTTGTATCTGTGAAAAACTGTAAATGAAACCAGTTTTGAGACAAATAAATACTTTCTATTCTATTCTATTCTTAGTGGAGCGATTACAGAAAATAATGGCCTATTAAGTACATGTTTTTTTGTGTTATTATGAAAGTTTAGAAAACTACGCAAATTTTAAAATTATTTTGGACCTGTGGAAATTCTTATTTTTTCTCATACATTTCAATTGAAAATTTTAGAATGTTCTGCTAAAAGCATATTTTTTATATTTCTAGCAAAAATTTTGTATCTTGCATCAAAGATAGGAAGGTGATTATTTTTTTCAAATATCTGCAACTAATAGAATCTGTCAACAAAAAGAAATCTGAGAAAAGTCAACGCAAAAAAAAGATTTCAAAAAAATTAAGCCACTAGGAATTTTGAAAAAATCACAAAATTAACGATAACTTCTAAACTACGAAAAATCGTAGAACATACATGGGGGTGAAATCGATAGGTCTAGTCCTCACCTATCACCTGCCTTCGGCTTGACACCTTACAAGAAACACCCTGTATGTGTCTCAAAGCACCGGTAAAACAATGAAACATTTATGAGAAACTTTGATAATTGTATGTCCAAACAGAAATGAAGAAATGTTTGATTTGAAAATATTGCTAATTCATACCAAATTAACACTTTTTCTATTAAATCTTTAAATCATACAGCAAAAACATTACAATGCGTCATGATGACTAATCTAGCAACTTGCTAAAAATTCAATGCCAAGAGCTATAAGCAGTTCAGTGTAAATTAGTGATAAAAGATTCACGATTGTTCGATGAACTTTGTATAATTATGTTTGGTATAAACATTGATATAGATTTACTTGCTAGAGTACCGAAAAGTAGAGTACCATACGAGTATCTTCAGAATAGCATAAATATACCTACAAACTAACCTTAGTATAGTCCAAATTCTCCTGCAGTTTTACATTCGGACATTCACCGGGCAGCGTAAACTCTGCCGCAGTCGCTGCGCCCGCGCAGAAAGCCAGCAAAAACACGAACATTATACAGTATAATATAAGTATAATTGTTTGGTTTTTTCCCGAATCATGTGTCCAGAACGAATGTGCGATATGAAGTGCGCTCGCGCATCCCACACGGTAATTATTCAATGTGATGACCCCCGACCGTAAAGGCGTTTTACATTGAAATTGACGCTAAATTGGTGTAGGGTTTCTTGTAATGGCTACTTCCTTTGAGTATTTTTAGTGGATGATATTTACGCAGTCCTTTTATAAGCTTACACTTTACTGCGTTCTTATTCTACCCAGATGGCACTTGTTTAGTCTGGAAACATTTTTAGGAAAACGTCTCTACCGACACTGAAAAAAATGTTTGGTTGCTGCTTACACAACAAAAGTGACCACCGAACTAGGTGTTAACTATAACCAAACGTCTAGCTCAGGGATCGGCAACCTTTTGAGGCGGAAGAGCCAAAAATTACTATTTGCAAAATTTCAAGTTTTTAAAGAGCCACAAATTTTTTTCTTTCCAGTAATAATAACCTCTATACTTTCATAAAGTTTGTTGATAAAAAAAGCAATCTATTTATTCATAGGAAAAATATATATTTATTCATATAACCTCGTTAATCGTTTCAGAACATTATTTTTTTGTAAAATAAATAGGTAATATTTGCGAATGGAACTAAAAAGCCGCAGCCTCACATCCAAAGACCCCAGGTTGTCGACCCCTGGTCTAGCTCACTACAGAATAATAATTTAAACAAATAATTATTATTTGTTTAAATTACACAACATTTTGTTCCTCATAACCAAAGTGTTTGGTGGTCACTTTTGTTGTGTAAGGAGTAACCAAACATTTTTTTCAGTGCGTCATGTTCGATTATGCTATGCCTGATGCCTATACATTAGATGTATATCGTACTGACCCTGTTACTCGTAAGTCTTCATTTTCAGCCCAGACTACAGATTTTACTGAACAACTTATGGTTACTTTATACTCGTATCCTAAAATATAATTTACAAAACGCAATATAACAATATTAATGGCAAAATTAACAATAAGATTATTATAATATTGTGGACGCCACTTTACAAAGTGTTGATATTGTTGACAATATTAGTTGGTTCTTAGAAAAAGTTATAGCAAATGAACTTATAACAATTTGTTTATGAACTTATCAGTCGTTACGTTAAATTGCTAAGAATATAGGCGATTCTAAGTAATTTGTAGAGGAAAAATCTTCATAATTAACAACTTTTCTAAGAAAAGCCGACTATCCATAATAAAGTGAACTGGTTCTATTTAATATTTATTATTGTTTCTTTGTGATAACCTAAGATCAAGTTAATGTAAATATGTGATGTTTATTATAAATATTACACACTGTTGTATTGAAGTGAACGGTTGTTCTTTAAAATATGATTAAATTAATAGTGTTTTTATTCTCTTTCTGCGGTGTCTATGGATATTTCACTCTTCCTGGGAAATGTCCAACCAATGTGGCTGCGAAAGACGACTTCAGGCTTGAAGATGTAAGTATTTATTTAGTTGAACTGAGCTGAAATTATTTATAAACTGATTATATTCAAGCGAATAATTATAAAGTCCGTGACTCTCACTCGGCATGGGGTACACAGAAAACCAGCGTCGTGGCCTTCGTCACCGTGGGTCACGGCATACGTTGTTTTATGCGACAAGGTGGCACTACTCAGTACACTTTATTTTCTAAATGTTTAGCATCTAAATCCGTTGCGTAGTTTTAAAGATCTAAGCATACATAGGGACAATATATAGTGATGTACAATTATTGTGATTTTCAGTTCTACGGGAAATGGTATCAAGCCTACTTCTACTCCAGCGATGGGCAGCGCAAGAACAACTGCTCCGTGATCGAACTGGGAATCGAACCATTTGACAGCTACAAGAGTGGAGCGTCACCAATCCACCTGAACCAGTCGCGAGTGGATAGGGGTCTATTCCATAGATATAGTATCGCAACAGTTCGCCCACCAGCATCGGGAAGTGTGTCTGGGTCTTTAGAATTGGAGTATACATTTAAGAATGCTCCAAGGAGATGTGAGTATAGTTCATTATTTGTTTGTTGCTATAAGGGCCCTCGAAATTGCTATAAGGCCCCCTATGTCCTTCTGATTAATTTCGTTGCGGGTCCAATGATAGTTTGACTTTCCCCGCCCGGGACAAACTTGACCTTCACTGGTTGGGTTTTTTTTGGCGGTCAAGCTGTAGATCCTGGCTACACAGAAGTTGCAGCAGTGGGAACGAGAGGTGGAAATTGTCTCGTATAAATAGGTAATTTAGTCCAGTCAATAAAGCATTATAGATGGAAAACTGTAGAACACAATTTCTGACTTCAGGACTTTATTTAGACTAGTTAGGAGGTGAACATAGCAAAAGTCCCCGCCCTTAGCCCTTGAGCCGGCGGGGAGAGGGGGGTTTAAAGGTGCCACTTTTCGGTTTTTCGCTTAATCCTCGGAAACTATGCGTCCTAGTGACATGACTACTTTGAACCAAAAAAAGCATATTTAATTTGCTACAGATGAGATAGACAAGTTTTTCTATAAATTGTATAGTTTTCGCGGCATCTACTCTAGAAGGTCTGTAATATTGGAAATTTTATTTTTGTCTTACATGTTCCCATCAGGAGAAAATCGACTAAATCAACATTAAGCAATCATTCTAGACATGCGGGAGCATGTTAAGCCTAGTTCCAGCGAGGGGACTACACCGTGCGTATATTTAGACAAATCACTTTGAGCCACTTTTGAGTCCTCATCACTCAAAAACTACTGTGCATTAACACTTCAAATTTGGCTCATGTGTTGAGACTTACAAGATATACATCAGTTTCAAATTTCATAAATCTGCCTCAAACGGTTCTTTAGATATTGACGTCCAAAAATCTACATGTCTGACCTATAGACCAAATTCTAACCACTTCCAGATGACCTCGAAGGTTCAAATTTGGCATCCAGAAAGGTAGTTATGTAAATACAAAGGAACAAATAAAAAACCAGTAAATTTTAACATTTCACATGTGATAGATAGATAGTAGTGCTCTAAATATCGATTTTTGAACGTCAATACCTAAATAACCGTTTGAGGTATATTTATGAAATTTGAAGCTGATGTACATCTTGCAAGTCTCAATACATGAGCCAAATTTGAAGTGTTAATGCACAGTAGTTTTTGAATGATGAGGAGTCAAAAGTGGCTCTAATTGGTTCGTCTAAATATACGCACGGTGCAGTCCCCTCCATGGAACTAGGCTTAACATGCTCCCGCATGTCTATAGTGTTTGCTCAATGTTGATTTAGTCGATTTTCTCCTGAAAGGAACATTTAAGACAACAATAAAATTTCCAATTTTACAGACCTTCTAGAGCAGATGCCGCAAAAACTATACAAGATATAGAAAAACTTGACGGTCTCACCTGTAGCAAATTGAATAAGCTTTTTTTGGTTCATAGTAGTCATGTCACTAGGACGCATAGTTTCCGAGGATTAAGCGAAAAACCGAAAATTGGTACCTTTAAACCCCCCTCTCCCCGCCGGCTCAAGGGCTAAGGGCGGGGACTTTTGCTATGTTCACCACCTAACTAGGCTAAATAAAGTCCCGAGGTCAGAAATTGTGTTCCACGGATTTCTCTCTACACCGTCGTTAAGGCATTCATTGACTGGACTAATTACTAGATCAGTAAACACTGGATCCTGTTTTTACTGGTCCAGTGTATTGACAAAACCGAATTCCAAATTCAAACGGATCGGTGTTTGACAGACTAAATTATTATTGCAGTGATGATAATCAACAATGAAATAGTGCTGAAATCGCTACGATAAGTGCTAATACTCCGACTCTGAATAACAATTGCTTGTTTTATTATTTCAGTAATGACAAGGAACTATAAATTGGAAATTCTAGCTACAAACTACAATTTCTACGCGACTGCCTACACTTGCCAGTACAGTCCTTTGATCGATAAACATTACAGTGAGTATAATGATTCATGCAAGATAATCTTCTATAATATAAAAATGAATCGCAAAATGTGTTGGTAAGCGCATAACTCAACAACGCCTGGACCAATTTTACCAATTCTTTTTAACCCTTACACGCTTATAACTAATCCAAGCTATAAAATTATTTTTTCTTTAGTTATATCTATTTATTTTAGTTTAATTTAACATAAAAGTAGCACAGAAAATGTAAGTGCTATGTATTACAGTGTTTTTCAGTAGGGGACACATATGTCCCTATATGCGTTAAGGTATACATTGCCTCATATATTGGAAATAAAATACTTCGACGCTTTTGTTGCAAAATAAATACAAACCAAACTAAAAATACAAATGAAATTTAATCAATAAGCATAATATTAATATTTATAATAAACAAATTAAAATAGATAGCGTCTTACCTTACGTATTTGTATGTTTGATCCTCATCTCATCATAGACATCTTTCTTGAAGTTAGTAGACCTACCTAATCTGACTGTTTGTTCCAAGAACAACTTTGAGTGTAGAGTCTCTAACCTTCAAAGGAGTGCTGTAACACGGATATTTGACATAATTTTTTCGTCTTGTCCTTATTTATTTTGAATCCCATTTATTGAGAGCCTCTATTGAGGCCATAGAGCATTGATTCTAGGTCTTCCAAAGTCTCAGCCGTGCCGTGACTACAATCGTTGAATCTTACTCGGGGGGACAACTTCCGAGAAGCTTCGCGACATCTTCTTATCAAAAATACCGCAGTGTCTCAAGACCATTGATAGAAAGTCTTTGACCAATGTGTGTTGGCAGTGATGGCGTACGGAACGGAGACGACGTGTTCCTTCACTATGGGCCTCATGAGAAGGCTCAAAGTCACCCAAAGTTTGATGAGGAGATCCGCAGGAGAGCCAAAGTAACAGACATAGCCCGCAGAATTGTCAAACTTTCGCGGCAGTGGGTAGGGCATAGCTCGCAGAAGTGAGGGCAGAAAATTTCTCAAGTGGCGCCCACGGATAGGAAGACGCAGTGTGGCAAGCCTCATGTTCCTGTGCTTCTCGTATACATTCATGTATACGAGCAGCACAGAAACGATCGTTGTGGAAGTCCTCAGGGGAGCAGAGTAGCAGTAGACGCCCTTTTATTCAGGAGGAAACCATCCTCATTGTCGCTATCTTCAGTCATCATGACTTCATGACTTCCAAAATTTCGACTTTCCTGAGCGATTTTTTTATGTCGATTTGAAGACAAATGGTTTACAAATAAATGTATGAATATTATAATAAAACATCGATATAAACATACAAACTATAACGACGCAAACAATATCCTTAGTAAGAACCAAGTTTCCCTTTACGCATATAGGGACACCCGTGTCCCAATTAGATTTTTACATAATATTCCTAACTCGTACGAAGATAAACGAAAATATGCGATGAAACGATAATTATACTTACCATTGAATGTAAAATTTGAAGAAACATAGTGGCAGAAAGCCGATAAGTAATAAAAAAACAATTTTAAATTTTGACGTCTAACGAATTTTTTTTTCACATGTTGTGCCAGTATTTTTTTATACATGTAATCGAGTTTTTTATTATTTCTAGCGCATAATCATAAAAGGTAATAATAAAATTTAAGAATATTAAACTACAAATGGTTTAACTTAACCAGTTTTACTGTAAATCGTGAAAACTATGTGGGGACAAATGTGTCCCATATGCGTGAAAGGGTTAAAATGTTCGTTGAAGTCCAAGGATGGTTTTACGGCGAGAAAACCCTAAAAACAACGCGGTTGAAGACGTGGGCGGAAAGCTAGTATGTAATACAATAATTAGGGTTAATCCTAATCTCCGAAGGGATTTTTTTTAATTTTAGTTCTTGTTAATAAATATGGAGTGACATGACGTGACATAGCAGAGCTGTCACGGCATCTGTAGTCCTGCCGCGAATATACTTTATCGACGTCAAAATGTATGGGAAAAATCGATAAAATGACGTGATAACCGCTTATCGCGGCGCACATCCTAGGCCTACTGCTGACATTTGACGTAACAAGAGCATCCTCAGTCCTCATCACTCCACTAATCCTCACCACTCCACTATCGCAGATTCATACTCAATTATGCGCTGTACCTATAGTTTGGGTTTTAATTAAATTCAATGATAGAAGCCATGATAGCCGATCAGTGAAGGGGTCGGACTGTACGACTCGTGATCCGTGCAACGCGGGTTCGGTCCCCGCCGCCATTCGACTATTGTGGTGAGCTCACTCAGTCTCGTGATACAAGCGTATTTAGCTTAGTACGAGGGGCTTACGGGACTATTAGTAATTTGTGCAATAACATCTTTAAAAAATGATGATTATCAAGTTATTTTTATTTTCAGTCTACGTTTGGATCCTATCACGGAAAACTTCTCTAAATGACGTCTCTAAGGAACTGGCCTTGAAGTCATTGAAAAACATCGGCATCAACGAAGAAAAGCTGGTAAAAGATGATCAGACCAAATGCAGCCCCAAGTACTACGAAGATACTCCGACTGAACCTACCACTTTTAGATATTCTATTCCCATATAATTTTATGGCACTGTGAACTTTCATGAATAAAATTATCTGACCTAGGTTTTGTTTTTTGTATCCATGCTTGGTTTCATGTTTTTGTGGAACTCGGGTATAATAATTATACATGAGCGAGTATTCATGTGATTGTGCAATGCAGAATTAAAAGATTAATTGTGTAAATCAAAAACATGAATAATGAAGTAAATAAAGTTCCAGTCTCAAAATATAAAGACTGGAATTTGACAATACACAGGTATACTCATTCCGGAGACTGTTAGTTCAATCCTTCCTTGTAAAATAGACACTCTACTTTGCATACTATGTCTTTAAATAAAAGTCAATACCTTGTCAACAAAAATTACAGTAAAATTATGTCAAAGGATTTCATGTGATAAGATAGCTCATGGAATAAATCTTACTGATTCACGCTTCACAGTCACAGTGTAACTTTCCCCCGGGACAAACTTGACCTTCACTGGTTGGGTTTTTATTGACGGTCAGGTTTTTATTGACGGACGGTTGGGTTTTTACAGATCCTGGCTACACAAGAGTTGCAGTGGTAGAAACGAGAGGTGGGAATAGTCCTGTTTTTTATTCACGCTTCAGTCTTTCTGTCACATTCATCATCAAGCAAAACCAGCAACGATTATAATAAAAACTATAATTTATTGAACCTAATAATCGCCAGCATCAGTCAAATTGACAGCATGCACGTGCGCTGTCCACTGACTCGCGCACTGATAAGGGTCATGGTACACCTTCTCCAAGTATCCAGGGCTGGTGTACGGGATGTCATTGAGGGTGGTTCTGGCAGCTTCCATGATCGCGGCAGGCAGGCTGGCTTCTCGGGAGAGGATCCAGGCAAGAGCTGAAATAATATTCATCATCATCATTCCAGCCATAGGACGTCCGCTGATTTCCATAATGGCCGGTTGGTAGCGGCCTGTATCCAGTGCCTTCCTGCTACCCAATCGGCTGTCGGTTCTGCGTACTATGTGCCCTGCCTATTGCCACTTCAGCGCGCTAATCCGTCGTGCTAATAATAAGAAATAATATTGGAAAAATGATATGAGACGCAGACGTGTTTCAGAAGAAGATTTGTCTACTATGAATGTAGTCTAGAGGAGACCTTCAGAAATTGAAAATGATCTAAAATTAATAAATTGTTCTTATAACAGTCTCATTACCTAGCCAAAACTAAGCAAAGCTCGTAGCATACTTAAGTAAGTAGCAACCGCAGCTGTATTTGTGTTTTTTTTTGTTTTTATGTGACAGGAGGCAAACGAGCAGACGGATCATCTGATGGTAAGTGATTACCGTCATAGATAAGTGGAAAGTGTGTACGCGAATTACTAGAATATTCATAATACTTACTATACTTGATATTCATGAGCTTGTTCACTTGACACCCGTACAGAATGGCATAGTTCGTGTAGTCCGTCGCTACCACTGATATGGGGATTCCCACTGGGTCTGTAACGTCAAAATAATAATTTTTCAAGCTTATACTAAAATCCAAATTATGTCATAATTTCTGGCTAATCGTATCAAGTCACACTCACAACATATTATTTGCTATAGGTATAGATAAAGCTTAGCCTCGTGAAAAGGTCTCTCATACTCGTAGAGTGCCTTTTGAGTACCTCCTAGGACCAAAAACCGTTTCAGTCTAACTAAAACAAAGACGAATATGATGGACGACTTAAAGACTTGCATTAACTCAAATACTTGATCACCTTACATGATGAATGCTTCTCTAATGTTATAAATGTGTCAACATTTATAAAAAAATCTGAATGTGACAAGGCGAATGTAACATGGCGCGTATTGAGGAAGTCTTTCATGCCCAGTATTGAACTATATGAGCTGACAATCTTTGGTTTTTGTCCAGCAAAGGACGTCTTCTGGTTAAAATGGACGACACATTTACTGCTTATCTGATACTTAAACTCACCAATATTATTCTTCTCAATCCTAAACACAGCCTGGTCTCCAGGATTGTAAGTGCTGTTCACGTGCAGTACATACTGGATGTCATCTCTGACATACACGTGCTCAATCTCGATCCGTCTGCCGCAGACTTGGATGCGTTTGTACGCGCAGTGCCCGTCGTTCTCAAACCAGGCTGGGAACCGCTCGATTACGTACCATGTTCCTAGGAACTGGAAAATAATAGCCAAGTTACATAAAAATAAGAAATATGAGGAATGAAAGTCAACTGTATCCTAAGACTCAGCTGTGGCCGGCGTCATAATGTTGGAAATCATAAATGAAGACAGTAATAAATTCTACAATAGTAAAAAGTAATTAATGGACGGACATTAGTCCAAAAATGTAGAGACAGGTATAGTTCTTGCAACTCACGAAGGCGAGTGAGCTTTGCTTGTGTGTGTACGTGTACATGCACATAACGATAGTGTAAGTCTGTCAAAACTGTAAAACAAGCCACCACACATGTAATTAAAAGCTTACTCGCCTTCGTGAATTGCAACAACTATACCTAATCTATTGCAGAAGGTTCTCGAATAGGACCCTAAATCTCAGCAAACGTAGTAGGTATAGGATGCCCCGATCAATGGACCTACGACCATCAGAAGAGAGCTAGCAGTAGTTAGATGAAAGAGCGAGAGATCGCAATTTGTGCCTAATGCTTATTGGGAGAAGGTTACTTCTGCCAGTGAAAGATCATAAGTTGAAATGATGAGTAACCAACTAATGTAACGCGAAGCATCAAGGTTCTTCAACTTTTTTATTCTGTGACCAAACCCACGACCAATCTGATGTTTGAAAAGTGTGAATGAGAAGAAAGATCTAGTAACATACCGTGCATTATCTGTAGAATTTTCTTATCGTATCGTAACTAAACTTATTATATGTAGTTAAATGGAACTGTTTCGGACATAAAACTTACCTTCTCCAAAGCAAAATACTCCACAGGATTCACTTCTGGACACGTCCCAAACTGCAACACTTGTGCTTGTCCACATTTTAGCACAATGAGAAGCACATAACAAAATAAAAACTTAAACATTCTGACGGGTTTACCAGATCTGATGCTGGGACGTTTGATTGTACTTATCTTAATCGTTATCACAGTGTTGTCGATAACTATAGGATATGTTTTGGACTGTTTGGCTTGCATAGTTACAGATGAGACATAATGAAGATACATGTTTGTTTATTCTCGCAGTACTTAAAACTAAGGAACTAAGTAGGTACCTGCACAAAATATTAAGATGACTCAACTTATGTTTTATTACTTATTTGAAAAGGTCGTCCTTGAATCCTAAATGAAAATTGTTGCCTCATAATAATTCGTACCGTTTAGTTGTAATTTGATTTCATAATCACACGTTTTCAGCAATCTTGAAGATATTGATGATTCTTTTAAATGCCATATTGTCATAAAACTCAATAAAATTTAAAGAAACAATCAAAGTCGCGAAACGTGCGTAATAAAATGTACAGCAGTAAATTGAATTATCACGTACAAATGTATCAGCAATCAGCCTTGAGCAATAAAGGCTTACATCATTTATAGGGCTTGGCTTTCACGTTATGAGAAGACCAGACGATCACGTGATCAAAAAGTGATTTCCATGGTCACAATAGCTTCCAAGAAAAACCTCGGACAGACAGACAGACGGACATAACGAAACTATACTATAGGCTTTGACCAACTACACTTTAGCTAAGCAAATTTATGTATTTGTAAGCGGTTTGTTTTCTGAATAAAACATAATAAAATAAAATAAGAGTTCATTGTCAGGACTACGGAACCCTAAAAAAGAGGGGAAGAATAAGACCCACCTGGACGACGAATGTCCAAAGGTATTTTGGACGATAAGAGGGTTTAGTTTCCCTAATGCTGTCCAACGGGGTTGGATTCCATGACGACGATAATTATAATGATTATGATGATATGAATTTTTCAAACTATTAACTTTTTAAAAAATAAAACCGACTTCAAATGCGTGAACACAAAAAAAAACTAAAAATTAAAAATATTGCGTATAAAAAAGTTCATCTCCAATTTTCCACCCTTGGGGATGTAATATTTTCTTCAAATTCGCATGAAACCACCCTTTTGATAATACCTATTCAACAAAAAAATAATCGTTCAAATTGATTTATAATCGGCGGAGATATTGCGTATAAAAAAGTTCATCCCCAATTTTCCACCCTTGGGGGTTGTTTTTTCTATTATTAAATTTAAATGGGACCACCCTTGAGGTATTACCTATACGCCGAAAAAAGATTTGTTCAAATCGGTTCATAATTGGCGGAGTTATCGCGTAACAAACATAGAAAAAAAAAACATACGGGTCGAATTGAGAACCTCCTCCTTTTGTGAAGTCGGTTGAAATTTTCGACATAATGACCTAAAATTATATTATAAAAACATTCCAATCGAAATGTCATCCTACTTCTTGTGGTGAGGAAGTTACTTGACTCTTTGTAATGGTTTGTATTTCTTTAGAATGAAAAAATATTTCCGATGATCAATGGTCTATTTGTATAAAATGTTTAGAATTAAAGTTAGAAGCTATTGTAATATTTTTTGTCAATGCACGGCTTGTTACCTTAATCACATTGTGAAATAAACGTTTCCGATATCGCAATAATATCAGAAAATGACGAATTTAGTACCGGATTTAGTGTTTTTTTTTTCATTAATTAAAATTAGATAAAATGTTATAGAAGGTACTTAGATAATACAATGAAATAAGATTGGGAAAGGTCAAGAAAAGAAAACCTTAGCCAAAAATCATAGAGGAATAATATTTGAACTGATTATAAAGGCAATACAGTTGAAAAATTACATTTGACTTGTAATTTTTTCTTGCAATCTATTTCTGCAGCTATTTTTACTAATCCAAATACCAATAGAATAAATCAGAATACCACATAGCTAGCTATAATTTGGAGATGAGTATATTATAGTTGGGCTTACATTAACTTAAAATGACTTAAAAACTAAAATTTAAAAATTACTATTTATAAAAACTATTTACAAAATAAAAAATACTTCACCCCCAGCGCCGCAGTCAGGAATGGTGCCCAAAAGGCTGGCAGCATTGCCACGTTGAATGGCCAGGCTAATTCTCTGACCAAAATAGCTGCCAGCATTTTGATCACCGGTCACCTCGGTGAGCCTCTTTTCCAGTTCCTTATAAAAGGAACGAGCGCTTGGACCCCATGGTCCCATAGTCTCAACCCCAAACGGCACAAATATATAACTCTCATTGAGAGCTGCATATTTGCGCCGCTTGGAGCACTCAGCCGAGGCCGCCGCCGCGCCTGCGGCAAGGGAGGTACCTCCTGTATGAGACGGAGCAAGCGTATCCGCGCATGTTGCGTCCCACACAAGAGGACGTCCCTGCTTCCAGGGAATGAGCGTCATGCCGTCAGGTCTCTTGCCGTCGTCACGGAATATGCCGTTAGGCTCTAAAACTGCTGGCACATTGACGGCGACAAGAGCTCTGCGGATGACGTCATTGATGCAGGCGTGTCGGGAGACTCGACCAGCGCTCATTTGGCATGAGAGGCCATGGTGTCCTAACTCACCGACGCGAGTACCGCAACGACAGCGATGGGGATGGTTTGTCTTGACGCCAAGTCTAAGGGAAATGGCAAGGGACAGTGTACTCCTGTCAAGCAGAGTCCCGATATTGGCCGAAGGAAGAGCATGTAGCCAATAACCGGACTCTGCCTGAAAGACCGCTAGTAGGCGAGCACGCTCTGCAGCATTTTCGGAGGAAGCCAATAGATCACTCTGAAAACGCAAACAGAGCGGCTCGTCCCACTGCCTCTGAGTATCTGGCGAAGTATCCGGCAGAAGTTAGTGCCTAACTAAGAGTTGATCCCACTGCCAATCTATTAAAATTTCCAATATCATCATGCCAGGTCTTGAAGGAAGACGCAATTTCCACAAAAAATGCAACAAAAACTGTTCTTATAAAACAAGGAAGCTGTAGCTCTGTCTCAGTGTTTGTCCGTCTTCTGTTACGGTTGACTGCGACAAGGTTCCAAGATGCTTCTCCGTGGTTTGGTGTTAGGTCTGTTGTTGTGCCAAGTGGATGCTGTTCTTCAAAACGTCACGTGCCCCGTAGTGACCCCTCGGGAATTGGATTGGAAAGCTGTGAGTGTTTTACCCTATTGTAGATAAGAGAGTTGGTATTAGAGTCTGTATGAAAGTACTAGTAATTATACCTTGTACCCAAGGTTGTTGCGGAGTTGAGTGTTTTGCTATGCGAAAATATTTTAGTTTGTTTAATATTAAATGGCCGATTCGTAATCCGGGAAACGTGGGTTCGAATCCCGCCGCCGCTCGACTATTGTGGCATATTTAGTTTAGTACGAGGAGCTAACTGGACTATTAGTAATTTGTGTAAAAACAAATTAATAGTAAGTAATCTTTAAAAAAATCAGCTAAATCTGCTTCCTAATATTAAATGCGTCTGAATAAAATTAACATTTTCCTGGTAATTAATAAGGCAGTATAATGTTAGTATAGGGTTCTTGAGTGAGTGTCCCATTTGTTGTGGAGTAAATTAAATTATTATTACTCACATGAAATTATCAAAATTTTCACGGTCCCCAGCTTGACGGGAAATGGTACATCGCAGCCATAGCCTCGGACCTCTCAATAGAAGCAGACTGCGCCATGCTGGTGTACAATCACATGAACTCTACCGATGTATCGGTCAGCTGGATTACAAACAACACTGTCACTTACTACAACGGATCCGTGGCCATCACTGTGGATCCGGATAGCAACAGCACTAGTATTGGAGACCTGCTTCAGGTCACATATACAGGTCAGTGCCAGTACTTGTACAAGGAACACAGCTATGTTTAGAAGCACCTGAATCTCTTGAGCGTATCAGTATTCTGTCAGCTGTATTTCTGTAATACTATTACCAACAACACTGTCACTTACTACAACGGATCCGTATCCATCACAGTCCGTATCACGGTGGACCCAGATAGCAACAGTACTCTGTAAGTACTGTAACAACTGTACAAGCGTTGGAAATCTGCTTCAGGTCACATATACAGGTCAGTGAGAGTACCTATTACAAAAAGACGTCGATCTGTAGGTGAATATCCACATGTACTTGAATAGCTGGATCGTCAGCTGGATTACCAAAGAACACTATCACTTACTAGAACGGATCCGTGGCCATCAATGTGGATCCAGATTGCAACAGCACTAGCATTGGAGACCTGCTTCAGGTCACATATACAGGTCAGTGAGTGTAGTACCTATTATCTATATATATAAAAATGAAACCCGTTTCGCGTTGTCACGGCATCACGTGTGAACGGCTGAACCGATTTCGATAATTCTTTTTTTTAAATGTTTGTGGAAGTCCAAGGATGGTTCTTACGGAAAAAAATATTAAGAAAATCTCTACGCTAAGGCGGTACGAAGTTCGCCGGGTCAGCTAGTTATGAATAATAAATTCCTTTATTGAAGTTACAAGTTTTATCATTACAGGGTAAACAGGGTTTGGTACAACTTCTTTTAAGTTTATAAAAACCTGTATTAGAAGTGTACCCTCTTCTCTGTGGTAATAATTACATAAAATAAAAACTTGTACATAACCAAAGAAATCACTTAATAATACTAACTAAACTAATAGTAACTTATTACAACAAGATAAGCAGCCAGTGTGTGAACGAGTGTGTGTGTGTGTGTGTGTGTGTGTGTGTGTGTGTGTGTGTGTGTGTGTGTGTGTGTGTGTGTGTGTGTGTGTGTGTGTGTGTGTGTGTGTGTGTGTGTGTGTGTGTGTGTGTGTGTGTGTGTGTGTGTGTGTGTGTGTGTGTGTGTGTGTGTGTGTGTGTGTGTGTGTGTGTGTGTGTGTGTGTGTGTGTGTGTGTGTGTGTGTGTGTGTGTGTGTGTGTGTGTGTGTGTGTGTGTGTGTGTGTGTGTGTGTGTGTGTGTGTGTGTGTGTGTGTGTGTGTGTGTGTGTGTGTGTGTGTGTGTGTGTGTGTGTGTGTGTGTGTGTGTGTGTGTGTGTGTGTGTGTGTGTGTGTGTGTGTGTGTGTGTGTGTGTGTGTGTGTGTGTGTGTGTGTGTGTGTGTGTGTGTGTGTGTGTGTGTGTGTGTGTGTGTGTGTGTGTGTGTGTGTGTGTGTGTGTGTGTGTGTGTGTGTGTGTGTGTGTGTGTGTGTGTGTGTGTGTGTGTGTGTGTGTGTGTGTGTGTGTGTGTGTGTGTGTGTGTGTGTGTGTGTGTGTGTGTGTGTGTGTGTGTGTGTGTGTGTGTGTGTGTGTGTGTGTGTGTGTGTGTGTGTGTGTGTGTGTGTGTGTGTGTGTGTGTGTGTGTGTGTGTGTGTGTGTGTGTGTGTGTGTGTGTGTGTGTGTGTGTGTGTGTGTGTGTGTGTGTGTGTGTGTGTGTGTGTGTGTGTGTGTGTGTTGGATTCCTGTTTCAAATTACACAGAGGTCAGTGTGATTATACAAGCAGACTACTACTGTTTGTACTCCAAGAATGGTGTTCGTTATCTGTCTAGATAGCCAAATACACCATCTCTCACCATAATGAGTCAATATGCTAATACATTTTAGCCTGAATTATCTTCTAGCTTGTTTAGATCTAACCAACTTAGATAAAATTATTCTAGAATCTAATATATGGGCTTGGATATATCACGCTTGTCGTGCACGATAAAGATTAAGGCATTATTATAATCAGTGATAGAACGATTAAAATCAGACCACTAACCAAGATGTTTACATTAAAAAATACTTTTCTAGTACGGATTATGTCTGCCGATAACAATTAAATCATTGATTAAAGGTAAAAGTTTCAATGCAAAACCCAAAAAAAACAATCCCAACTAATATTATAAATGCGAAAGTAACTCTGTCTGTCTGTCTGTCTGTCTGTCTGTCTGTTACGCTTTCCCGCTTAAACCTCGCAACCGATTTTGATGAAATTTGGCATAGAGATAGTTTGAGTCCCGGGAAAGAACATAGGATAGTTTTTATCCCGGTTTTTGAAACAGGGACGCGCGCGATAAAGTTTTTCTGTGACAGACAAAATTCCACGCGGGCGAAGCCGCGGGCGGAAAGCTAGTGCAAAGATAAAGGGATCAGAGCGTGATAGTTGATATTTCACAACATTCCTTAGCTCTTAGTCAGTAGGCCCTTCGTGATAGCTCTTATCACAACGAGCTACCTCATTGCCTTGTTTCTTTTAAATTATTCATTCAAAAAGTCAATACACTTTTTATGTGTTTTAAGATATTGGTTATTAGTCAGCATTTACAAGCAAGCTGTATTATGAGTTATGACGTGTACAGAAGTGCCCTGATGAAGGACCAACATACTAATAAAGAATTCGAATTGGAATTGGCAGTTAAAACAGAAACATTATACTGATCCTATGTACAACTGTACTGAATTGATTTTGAAAACAAATTTTTATTTTGTTTATAGGAATTGTAAAGAAAAACTGGTTTTGAAAAGTAAAAAAGAGCGAATCTGCAAATATAGTTCAGTCACTATAGAGGTGACAATCATGCGAAAATCACACGATTCGATCGTGATGATAGAAAGAAATTGGATGCATCAAGAGATCGAATTATGGAAAATCCTAAAATAATTCTTAATCCTAAAACTGTTTATTTCAGATCAGAAGTCCGAGAGCTACTCATTTCTGGACGTAGACTATGAGCATTACGCGGTTTTGTTCGCGTGCTACGACAACGAAGACGGAAACAGTAGTACTTGTGAGTATTCGATAGAGTTTAAACTAAATAATTAATGATACAATGGGACTAATCCGACTAATAAACTGGGTACAAAACCTTCATTGGTGGGGTAAAGATCTTTTTCGTTCCCATTATTGCATTTACTGGAAAATGAGGACAAACTTGATCTTCATTGGTTGGGTTTTTATTGGCGGTTAATCCTTCAAGCTCCGCGAATCTAGACACAATAGATAATCAATTGTTATGACATTAATTAATGCCGTCTGGGACTCAATCGGTTAAGCAGTAGATTCTAGAGGTAGGAATGGTCCCGTTATCCGTATCCCCTAGAAAATCAGGATCATCCCGGATTGGACCAAAAAAACTAAGTTTGTGTCAGCGAAAAGTGAAATTATCGTGAAAAGAAGTTACTCCATTTCTACAAAAAAAAAACATGCACTGCATTCCATTTCAATTCAACTGAATAATGTTACCAATAAATAAAATACCTCTACGGGACGACACGGCGGATTTTCATACTGCTTTTCAACCTGACCAAATTGTTATGGCATGAACTTTCTAGCAATAACTTTTTAGAAAGTTTAATCATTTGATACATAATATGCGTAGATTTCAACTTTGAATCTTACGTCAGCATATTCCTGGAACTAATCTTATCATTTGTAATATCTTGATAAATCATACTTTGATTAAGTTACAGAAAATTTCTCTTAGATGTTATCTCTGCAATTAGAAGTAGTGCAGACTAAGCTTATCACCGTTGTAGCATTTTATTTAATTTACTAGCGGCCGCCCGCGGCTTCGTACGCGGGGATCCCGTTTTACCCCTTCATCTATCCGGTTTTTCCTATTAGTTGAAAACTTTTTTTGCCCACAATGTGTAAGTCCTTGGCCTGCATCTCACCTGATAGAAAGTCATGATCAGGTATGCCAATGCGTAAAAAAGAGAATTACCTACTTACTTCTAAGGTAGGAAGTTACTGGATGAGATGCTAGTGTGGTCTAGTGGTTGTGCATTATGAAGTCAGTAGTAGCGAGTTTGATAACCACAAGGGGCAGAAGTTTGTGTGACGAGTATAAACTTTTGTAACATTTGATTCATGGATACCGGCAACTTATTACCGTATCTAGTATTTTAAATAAATGGTTATTTAATTTTGAATCGTATTTTTTTTAGTTGAATGGTTTAACAATGACAAGTTTATTTAGCGGCCGAGATATTTTGAGAACCACTTTTGAGATTTTCTAAAATAACCCGCATTATATACAGGGTGGAAACGTTCAGTGATCTCACTCGATTATTCCTAAACTATACAAGATATCGAAAATTGGTTACTGATCCTGAAAGTGCTTCACGAGCTCTATCAAACAGTATCAATAATTTTCGGATAGATCCAGTTTATCCTGTAACGTTTTCACCCTGTAGATTTTACAGCAGAGGTATTGTTATTAATTCAATTCGACGACTATCAAACTCTCTTTTGGCGCAAAAATAAGTTAAGTTTAGTTAATTTCTTCAATTAAATTTTAGCCTACAACAAACTCCTTTGTCTAAACTTCCTTGTTTCAAACAACAATTAACGTATTCCAATTAATGAGGTTCATAGACTTTATTTTCAATTGTTGTTTTTGTTTTCCCGTGATCAAGCAATTTGTTGCTTGGATGCGCGGGCGCGGTCGGCTGGAACGCTACATTGTGGCTTTTTAATTTGTTTTGTCTTTTTCTGAAGTTCAGTCTTCCAAAAGTATTTTTTTTGTCGGGGATCGTACGAGTAAGGCTGCGTTGGTTGTCCTTATTATGTTACCCTAATACCTACATAGGTTCCATATTATTTTAAGCATCCATTTTCATCCATTTCATATTATATCGGTTGGTGGATAATAATTATATATATATTTTTTCTATTTAAAAGTCGAATAGTAAAATTGGGCCACAGTATGCACACTGGCTAATTTCCGTTTTTCTTTCGTTCTCAACAAATTAATGGTAATCTTTGTGATGGAACGAGACGATATGACCGGAAATGGATATAACTGTAGGTACCTATTTACCTAACATGCCAAAAAAAGTATTTTTATTCTTACGTTATATCACATTTTCTTTGACTAAATTAATTAATTTAATATTTGCATGTCCGAAATGACTAATATTTGTGTCATATGTATCCATTTATATTATGTATCCATTTTCTATACCACCTTTAAAGTAAATAAATGATAATTTCGTTCCTAGCTCGCATAAATTTGGGACAACATATGGGCTGCTGCTGAGACGAAATGGCGGAAGACACTCAGTCACCTTTGTCAGCCTCTTTTTCAATCTAATACAGTAATTTATAGCTTACATGACACGTGATAAGTGCGAGCTAGGCAGGCAAAATCCACCAGTATCGTTTATACGATAATTATAGTAATAATACTGTAATTATCATACTGTTCCCCACGGGATTCGAAGTCGAACAGCCTCATATAGGGTTTCGATCACACGTCACTAACACAATGTCCTTTCCAGACGAAATATGGAAGTTGACCAGAACATCGCACCTGAAAGAGAGCGACGCTTCCAAGATTGACCAGGCCATAGCCAACTACAGTCTCGAAGATACCAGCTTCACCGTGTTCAATAACACAGAAGACACATGCAGCATAAGCAGAGGAAGCCATCTTGATCCATCTGTGTTGCTGACCTCGGCAGCTGCCTTCGCTTTATTCAAGAAATTATTTTAAAAGCTGACCCCACGGTATTCTTATTTATTTATTTATGACTCTTTTAAATCTATATTTACAAGCAAGGAAAGTACGGATGACAGCATATCAAACTAAACATAGTGGGCAATTTTGTATCAAAAATGCATATTCTAATGCTCTGTTGACTGTACAATTGTTCTATTTAAAACATAACAAAATTAACGAGCTATGTGGCATACAAAAAAGTAAATATTACGTCCTATAAACTAAACTAAATAGCCTGTTCGTTGCTACTTAACAGTTCATTTTTGATAGTACAAAAAACTTACCGAACAGCCTTATGAAACAGAAGATACTTCCACAAGTATTATTACCTATGTCCACTTGGATCCCATGTGTATTTGGTTTATGCTTGTATTTATACATAACTGTATATTTGATTTGACTAGTGTAGGAAGTAGGTACATAGCTGTAGGTATGGTAAACAATATTTATTATCAAAGACTTTTCGTTACCATTAAATAATTACCAAAGTAAAATGTGTTTAACTGTATTGCAAAACTCAACTTCGTAAGACAGCGCCATCTGTCAGATATGTCCGTAAATACTTGTTCTGACTGCTTTGTCTATATTTCAGTCAAAGGTTTTCATGTTTTAATAGTTCCTGAAAAAATATGTAGAGAGCGGTATTTAACAAAAAGTAGGAACATAAAAAATAATTATATCTACTCGTAGGAAGGGGGTCCATAAAGTTATTTTGTATGTAGGCAGGTAAGTATGTACCTAATAATTTTTTGATAGGAAATATGCCTTATAGGCCAGTAGAATAAAACACAAAAATTGATTAAATCGGAAATAATTCCTACAAAAGATTTTTTTTGCTTTAATGGCTTCATTGGTTGCCCATTAAGACTCTCCTAAGTTTTCGACTTCGACGGAGTTGTGCTTAAGTGGTGGGGGCCCCCGAAAGGGGCGTTTTTTCGGTTTTCCGGTTATACCGCGTAAAGGATTTACCCTATCGAAAAGTGGTCTTCATGACGGTTAAAGGGCACTTAATCCTGCATTGAATAAGACCAAATTCATATGTTTTGGACAAACCGTTCTCGCGCTAAAGTTCGGCAAAGTAGAAAATATACGTGTAATTAATGACCCTCTCCACGTCCAATGGCTTGTTACCCACATGCTTCCAAGCCTTGTAAAGGGTCGCCTTAACCAGTGTAACCCTAACAAGGTTCACGAGTTTGATTCGCTTATCCTTGTTCGTCCCAGCCGTTCCTTAACTGCGGTTGCTGCACCTCTTCCTGGCACTCTCCTGAACGACTCTGTGTTACCTAATGTGGCTGCCCCTCTTCCTTGTACCCTCCTGTACGATTTCATTGCTTAGCCATATGCCTGGTCCAAGGTTCGACGCCACAAAATCAACTTCGTACGAGTGAAAATAGTTTAAATACTATTTCCCGTGCTTGCAACATTTTTCTTTACTGCTTCGCCTCTATTAGTCGTAGAGTGATTGTATATATCCTATAGCCTTCCTCAATGTATGAGCTATTCAACACAAAAATAATGATTTCAATCAAACTAGTAATTCTTAAGATTAGCGCGTTCAAACAAACAAACAAAAAACTCTTCAGCGTTTTAATATGAACTTGTTGTTGTTGATTTTTGGCGTCGAACCTTAGACCAGGCATACGGCTAGGCAACGTAGTCATGCAGGAGGATACAAGGAAGAGGGGCAGCCACAGTAGGTAATACAGAGTCGTTCAGGTGAGTGCCAGGAAGAGGTGCAGCAACCGCAGTTAAGGAACGGCTGGGACGAACAAGGATAGGCGCATCAAGCTCGTAAGCCTTGATAGGGTTACACTGGTTGAGGTGGCCCTTTTCAAGACTTGGAAGCCTGTGGGTAACAAACCATTGGACGTGGAGAGGGTCATTAATTATACGTATATTTTCTACTTTGCCGAACTTTAGCGCGAGAACAGTTTGTCCAAAACATACGAATTTGGTCTTATTAAATGAAGGATTAAGTGCCCTTCAACCGTCATGAAGACCACTTTTTGATAGGGTAAGTCCTTTACGCGGTATAACCGGAAAACCGAAAAAATGCCTCTTTCGGGGGCCCCCACCACTTAAGCACAACTCCGTCGAAGTCGAAAACTTAGGAGAGTCTTAATGGGCAACCAATGAAGCCATTAAAACAATAAAATCTTTTGTAGGAATTATTTCCGATTTAAAAGCTAATTCTACTGGACTATTAATAACTTATTTTACAAATGTTACTTTTAACAAGTCAACCTAGAGTGTTTTTGTGGCTTATAATATAGAGCCCACTACTACGCTACTGGGTACATTTGGATAAAATTAAATATCCATAATCAAAGTTGACTGAACGACTGAGTGTGAAACGATTCCAATTCCTTCGAGACACAGCTAGTCATTTATAAATCCTTCCCCAAAACATTTGACAATTGAAAAACCTTTACCCTGAGCTTGAAATAAAAAGGATCAGCGGAACCCTCGCCAATAGGTGGGATCGGCTATTACGGGATTAAGCGAACAGTTCCAGCAATTTAGGTTTACTGCTGAAAACTTCCTAGAGTTTAGAAGCTCGTCGCCTTTTATGGTAGTTTTTACACTGCCATGAATGCGGGGATGCGGACGTTTGGATATCGAGAAGTAGAATACAAAGTTACCTTCGCCATCCACCAAAAACCCACTAGCTTTAATCTGGTAGAAGTTAAAGTCTGAAATGCAATGGCGAAAGGAATTGTAGCTGCAAAATAAAGTGGTAGAATCCAAAGGAGTTGATTACTGAAACGCTCTCACGTGAAATATTGAGCATGGGACTTGAGTTTGGCCTCAAACGATGGGGTGGGTTAATGGGGGAAGAGTAATTAGGGACATAAAAGTGGTTGCGGTTTGTCGTTACAATGTATTATGGGGTACCTGGATAGGTGTCTTGATGACCTGCTTGTAACAATTAAGCGGGAATATTTTCGCTGTAATTTTTGTGTCTGTAAGAGCCTTGATGTTGGAATTTAACTAAGTAGACTGGCGTTAGACAAGTCTGGATCTGGTGAATAATATTATGAACAAACTGGATAAAAAGAGCGCTTTACCTGGAAATCAGAACTCTAAAAAGGAACCATCTCATACTCGTAAATACTGAACAGACTTTTCTACAGGTAGAAAAAGATGTCACGAGTAAATAGCTCAAATTTAAGCCATCATCATCATTAGGATGTCTTATTTCCAATAGATACACGAGGGTTTTCTCTAATTTCATCAAATTCAAGTTATTCCTTCCAAAATCTCAATAGGAGAACTGCTTGTTACGGAATGAATAAAATGATATTCATTTGTTATGTCTTGCACACTTCGATCCCCGAATTTAATTTTGCACGCATGTACCATCTCCCTGCGGGCCATTTTCACGCAGGCGGCATGTTTCACCGAAATCGAACTGGGCAAATATAACATCGAGTTATGTTATGATGGCTCTGGGGTGCACCGATGCTTACACGTTATAGCACGTCGGGCTGGAGCGATTTATACTTCTTATCGGTTATGACCGGGATAAGTATACGAGGTATTTTAGGTTTAGCTTAAGGTTCAGGATGGCGATCAATGCATAATATTCCTAATTTGTATCAATCCAACAGTAAAGGTTCAGTCAAACCAACGCGATCACACACGATCAGCCGGCGTGCAGCAATGGCGATCAGACTTAAACTAGGAAATTGAGCAACTGGAAACGGTGCAGCGGTGCTTAAAACATACAAGATAGCAGATAATATTAAATTAGCAAATCAATAATGTGAAAATGTGTGCTCCCAAAGAACACTTTTACACGTCCCAACCCTACCATTACTTCGGGACAGTAATATGGGCCATATTTATGAAATTTTCATTGCAATTAAAAATCTCAAAATTTCTCATTTAAGATGCTCATAAGATAGGACAGACAGCTAGCACACTGGCAAGATTTAACAGCGCTTCAAGTCTTACAGTTCTTTAAAAGGATTGTTTGAGTGTGATACAAATAAACCCTGTCTAGACATGTTCTATAATACGCATTTAGTATTTCAAGCACACTGGCCCGTTCATTTCCTAGCGACGTGTTACGAGCAATGGCTATGCACCCCAGGGACAAGGGTGATATAGCTAAGGGCGATGCGATATTGGCCAGTTCGATTACGTGTCCTACAATCGAATGGTGCATGTCTGGTGACAGATGGGACATTGGTTTTAAATTTAAAAATAGTTTAATTGGTTGACAGCTGGTATATGGTATTGTATAATTGGTAGCTGACAATGGTTTCTTTCTGCATCAGCCGATATTTGTAAAGAATGGTGCGGGTAAAGTGTCCTGAAAAGGGCTTCATAATAATACCAATACTCATTATTATATTATGCTAATACTAAATAATTAGAATTTGAACTGGCACATCTAAAGATTCTCTGAAGTTTGACGTAACAAAAACACACTCTCCCCGCACTGATCCACTATCGCAAGCAAAAACCAATTCATTTATGTTACCTGACAATAATTAAGTAATTATAATGTAGGTATATTTAAATCATAAAATGATAAATTGATGATAAACAATCCTAGTAGCGTTTAGTCCTATGAAATGGGTGTCACTGAACCGTGAACGCTGTAGCTCGTCATGTGTTGTGACTAACACAGAGAGATGCAGCAGGCGCAGTAGCTTCTAGCATACAGAATATGGCTGGAAAAGCGGAGGATCATGGCCTGATGAACATGAATAAGCTAGATCAGTGTTTTTCAACCTTTTTGATGACACGACCCCCCCAATTTTTAGTATGAAAAAATATTTCGCGATCCCCCGACCGCTCGCTATTTTTTTCATGCATTTTATACTGTTACAAAGATGTTGTAGGGACCGAATATTTCAATCCATGCAACATTTATGCATTTGGATAATTAGATTTCGGATAAATCTATATTTATAACTTTACTGATTCTTTACTGAGGTAGTTTTTACGACCTCTCGTGACCCCCATATTATAGAGGCTTGGCGACCCCCCAGGCGGTCGCGACCCACAGGCTGAAAAACACTGAGCTAGATAACCGATATTACCGAGGCAATATCATACGCTCATAGGTCAGCTGGTAGAGAATGACTTATGGCATTAAGCTCGCCTTTTTGTACGGAACATTATTGTGTGTGCAATAAAGTCTTTAAATAAATACGCATTGAAGAGAATAAAACTCTCTCTCACATCTCACTCATCTATTTCTAGGTGCCCCTAAAATACCAGTGAAACATAATTCCAAAAAATTGGAGAGGGTCTATGTACATACAAGTTACTATTGACCGTTCTATGTGATACTGCAAATATCTGCGTTTCATTTCTATGGCTTAGCTCTTTATGGGTCGTGGATTATTAAAAGTTGGACCTAGTAGGTCTATGTTAACGTGATCCTAAATAAATATCTGGTTAATAGCGTTTTTTATAAAGTTTCTTTTTGTCTGCAAGACGACCTATCAATAAAAACCGTCTACACTCG